GGATCGATACGATGTTAGCAAGTGATCTATGAGCAGCTATTATAACTTTTCTTTCGCAACTTAACAGTAATTTCTACAATTTTTCAAGAGCTTTGCAGGATTGATGATTAGGATGCACAATGTTTTTATCCGAGTGATTAAAATAAATCTGAAATAGTCGTATGTAATTTTTAATATTAATAAAAAAGGATCAGAAGACACCCAATAATTGGTAGTATGAAGAGTTAAAGAATCTCTTGATACTGATTATTCATCGTAAGTTTTTCTGTTTAACATTTCACTTGAAATTGAATGATTATACGATTAGTATGAGATAAATACCATTTAATGCTAATATTATCCTAAGAGAGAGGCAATTTTTTTTAGAAAATAACAATTTTTTCCAGAGTTGGATCGAAGCCTTATAGAAGTATTTATGATTTTTCTATTTAAAACTGAAAAATTAAGCTCATTAAAAATATTTTGTTGTTACTAGATATTACTAGTAAGACAAAAAACACTCTGTTTTCCAGCAATGTCAAAGATTCAAAAAATGTCTACTCTACGTAAAGCTCTCTAAGAATATGTAGGATTTTACAAAGCTTATGAAATCCAGCGTATATCAATAACAATAGGATAAGTAAACCGTAGATACTGAAACATCAGATATTTCCGTCTTCTAACAGACTGTTTTGTTTTCTTCAGGCTTTTCTATTCATATGATTGTTTTAAGATGAATTTTAGAAAGAATTGAATAAATATAAATCAAGTGAATAATTCATTGCATAAAAATATTGAACCAGTGAATATTTCTCTGTTTCAGCAGGCATTTTTTGTTCTGTTCAGGGTTTGCTTTCATTGGTATTGATTTATTTAAATGAATAAAAGAGACGTTTGAAGAATAATATTAAGAAGACAGGTCTTTCATATACACAAGAGGATACTTCTGCCTGCCAGTAGACTTTTCTTTTCACATTACATATTTAAGATGAATAGGAGAAACGATCGAATAAATTTAAATCTAATTAAAAACCTATGACATATGCATGATAGACGATAGGATATTTCATTGTACATTAGACTTTTATTTTCACATGAACTGATTCATTAAGATAAATATAGGAGACATTTGAAAAAGTTTTAATGAAACCGGAAAATCAAATATACAATTTGATGGACAATTTAATGTTTCCTTTTTATTAACCGACTTTTATGTTCTGTTCAAGATGTTTTTCTCTTAGGTATGAGTCTTCAGTTCATTGAAAAAGGAACATTTTTTTCTTAATAGCACAATTTTCTTCTTTCATATGAATAATCAAAATAATATTCTATTGTCATTTTTGATGTCATTAAAGAAATTAGAGGTATTCTCAACTAAGACAAATTCATGTCTACCAATCAAAGATAATTATTGTTTATCACGTAAGAGAATAAAAAAGACTTTCTAAATTGTCAAGTTTGTTGCCGAAAAGCATGTTCCATCCTTGAAAATTTGAATTACTGCAACCGGCATTTTTAAATAAACTAATCATCAATATTTACATAATGCGAATAAATGTTATTTTATTTAGAAAGTTTTTTTTTTTCATTTCTTTTTTTTATTCTTTTGAGTGAGAAATGAAAATTATCTTTGAGTGACAGACATAAATTTTTCTTAGTTGAGAACAGCTGATATTCCTTTAGCGAGATCAACAATAATAATAGGATTTATTTCCATTATTCCTATGAAAGCATAAAGCTTGTACTAGTAAGCAAAAACTGTTCCCATTGCAATGAACTGAAGCAGAGATATTGGAATATTTGATGGTAGTGCTATTTATGGTTGACCTTATATAGAAATAAATATTTTGAGATCTCATTTAAATTGATACGTTTGCATATAGTTTCTCATTCAATATGTTATCAATAAATATTTTATCTCATTATTAACAATATAAATACTTTTAGTATTTATTCATTGTCATAATAAATACAAAAGCAAAAACATTTGTTTTGTTTCCAATGAACATCAATGAAGTTGAATTTTTTTCCTATATAAAATAATTTTCAATAAAGATGATAATTTAAAATTTGAAATTTTAGAGAATTATTTCATGAAATTAATTTTTTTTTGATTTCGTATTATTGCGAAGATTAACTTGTCGTTCATATCTGTTTAAGAAAGTTGAACGATTGTTGCTTTGCAGTAATAAAAAGATCTTCTATTAAATACAATAATCATTTTGTTTAAATGAACATTTTCTTTTATTTGATTCGTACTGGCATCTATTCATGGAGAAAAAATTTTGATTATTTATTAATAGAAAATCAAATATTGTATATTTCTGTTTTGTTCTTTAGTTGCTCAAATAACAAAATCAATGGTAAGGGATAAAAATTCGGATAGTTTTATTGCTTATTTCTATTTGATAGTGAGAGATATTAGAGAACAGAAATTTTTGACTATTTTTGACTACAATCGAATAAAGGTATACGAATACGATTTCAATCGACTTTTAATCAATTGGTAATCAATTTCAACTTTTGTTTCACTTTCTTTACATCGGAAAATATTAGATAAATCCAGAAATGTTAACCTATACTAACTCCCTTAACAAAAAACAATTATAATAGATTGAAAAGAGAAAAGTCTTTTTTTTATCACAGAAAACTGACGCATGATGATAGCAAAGTCCTTTAAGTCAAAAGAAAATTCTGCTGAGAAATAGACAAGGGGATATATTATCAGAATGTGGCATAAATGTTGTGCTCTTTTGGTTGACTAGTAAAATCCTTCTATTCACTAGTGGACATTTTCGAGATCCTTAACAGCCCTCACGCATTATTAGGAAAAACGAGCAAATATGGACAATGGACATCACCGATACAGAAAAACGTAGGCAATATTTCATCCACATTACAAGTCAAAGAAGAGTTTTCATGACCAACAGGAAACGAGAAACGAACAAATATTATCACAATAAACAAGAACTATTATCATGAATGATGGATAAAACAAGAACAATTTCACCATCAAAAAAAGTTTTTCAAATAACTGAATGAAACAAAATATGATATAGAATGTCTAAAAAATCATGAATACATTCTAAATGCGAATAACTTTACTACTAATTAGAATTAGTCCAATCTTTCTATGTTATGAGAGTTAAGTGATCATTAAGAGCGCTTCCATTAGAGCATTGAGGAGCGGAGGCACTGGTCGAAATTCAAAATTTTTGATTTTTTATGTGCATTCGAAAGGCCATAGTCTGAATCCACCAACCTCAAAACTTCAGCTTCTATTTAGCTTCCTTTGAAAAGTTAGTCAATACCGAATTTTTACCACTATCATTTCCTTACGAGAAAAAAACAACAAAAAAGAAGCCTGAAAAAAGTTGTGCTCATTTTCGTTTCAATGAGTTATCAACATTTTTATAAAATATACAAAAAGATAGAGAATTAAAAACTGAACAAAATGAGCTATTTTAATATAATATAATGTCGACTGACTCATGTTTTAAGGTGCGTGAATGTGGATGAACAAGATGCCTCCCACTTGCATCTACCATCACTTCCTTTTTCTGTTGGTGAAGAACTCTGGCAAAGAAGTCTAACATTGTTGTTCTCGACTGCTCAGATCTGTAATAGCAGGGGGTGGGAAGAGGACGCAAAGGTTCGGTTTACATCTTACAGTCAATATTTTCTTTGGAAATACATGAGAATTCGACAAAATGTTAAAGCTCTATTGTTAGAAAAGTTGTCTTAGAACAACTGATTCAAATTTAATTTATAATGCGTTCAGTCTTTCAATAGATAATTATGTAATATAGTAAGGAATAGATCTTCCTTCTACTAAAATTTAATAAATAGTTAGTATTCATAATCACAATGATATGTCAATGCTTTTATTGTTTTTCTTTATATAACTTAGGATTATCTTCAGCGACTTTATTTTATGAGAAATGACGCCATTCAGTGTCGAATAATTAGCTATTTTTCGATTTTTTTTTCATACGATTGTACATTCACCAAGGTGTCAAGTGCAGTTTTAAGACTCTCAGCACTTTTTGATACAGAAGGTGCTAATACATACTTGGAATTAGACTGGAAACTAAAAGTGATAGCTATGATTGAGATACATACACATTTCAATTTGTTTTGTTGAATTAGGACAAAGCTATTTTTCAAAAATAACGATTCTTTCTGTAAGCTTTCTAGTGCCAAGGACTCTGAATCTCTAATTGGTTTTTCGAAATTCTTGTGTCCAACTTTTTCGATCAATAAAAGACTATTTTCTTCGGTTTATTTACATTTCATAACATTCAGCTATTTTTTGTACAATAGACGTTTTCCTATCCAGAAAAATAAAACTCTGGAATTGCAACAAAGTGATTAGAGATTGGAATTTCTCGATCCCGTAAACTTATGCTCAAGTTATGTGAAAAATCGTTCTTTTTCGAAAAATAGCCTTCTCTTGTTTGTAAAAATCGAATTAAAATAATATCACTCTCACTCGTAGCTATCATCTTAATTTCCAGTCTAATTCCAAATATGTATCAGCATCACAGCACACTGTAGTGAAATTTAGTGCCCAGGTGCTGTACTTATCTCTTGACATTCGCCAGAAACAAGAGAATTTCAAAACTAATGGAAAAATTCAATGTTTCACTAGGCCTGTCTGAATACATTATTTAAATGTACGCAAAAAGGCATGAACAAGAGATGACAATCAATCTGAATAGTTTATTACAAATACTTATAGTTCATGTAATTGTGTCAATCATTCCTTAATTTTTATGCATGGAATTTTTTTCACTAGTGTGATACACTAATTACAAAACTTCTTGTGTTCTACTATTTAGAAAAATATGAACTCAAATTAGATTATTGTTTGAGAAGTGAGATGATTTTGAATTGTTTGTATTCATTAATTTTTTACGACAGTGATAATCTCATCAACATGTAAACCAATTTAAAGAACGCATATAGATATTATAACTATTTACTTTTTATCTTGAATAAAACATATTAAAGAAACAATATTAAGATCTAAGAACTGAAATAGTTGTGGTCAAAATATATTCGAATAATGATCCTTGATCAACTTCAGTAAAGTATCGTTTAAGACATCGATATAAATCTCCCACTGTTGCTTTTTGATCTTTCAAGTATTCATATACTACACCAAATGAATTGACTAAAGTTTTATCATGATATGCTGCATAGATAAGTGGACGTCGAGCTTCAGAAGCAGCCATTAATTGAATGATTGCTAAAAAAAAGAAGAAAATATGTCAAAACGGAAAATTTCATCATTGTAAATAAATCTATACCTTTCACATATTTATCGCCATTGAATGCACCACAACCCCAATTTCCAGTAGCAATAGCAAACTCATAATCTGATCCACTATTTAGTGGACGAAAGCTTGTGTAAGCTTTGAATAGTTCACGATCTACACAATTCATATCATTTTGTGTAGATGTATAACGAAAGAAAATAGCATCCATTGCTACAACATGACACCATTTTCGTCCCCAATTATCTCTGAAAATAGGACATACATGGTTAAAAATTTGAAATCCAACACCAAAAACTTTTTATTTTTGACTAGAAAATAAACTATTTTTTTTATTTACACCAATGGATTGTAAAACATAATGACATAAATTTGATTGAAAAAATGTCTTACTTAGATGTATTGTCGTCATAATTTCCATCAAACTGAAATGAATTCGAATAACCTTTATATGTTGAATATCGTTCACAACCAATAAGAAAAACGCATTCATTTGGTTCCATTCTTTCACAAACAAGTAAACTAACAAGCATTTCAGGACAAATACTAAAGCGAATTTCTTCTTGAACACAACCGCCACGTAAAACACCACCTCCCTAATTTTCGATAAAATATTTCACTAATAAAAGAACAACATGATTATAACATACTTACAATATATTTATTGGCAAAGTCAATCTAAAACAAAAACAAAATCAATGAATGTGCGACAAAAATTCTGATATTTACTTGTAATACACCATTGATATCTTCGATTTTTTTATCTGTTGTTAAATGCAAATCACAAAGATCTGTGTTTAAATCTGACCATTGTGGAGAAACATGTTCGGGAAATGCAATACGTTGAATAGTAATAACACCATTTGGCACTAAATTGTACCAGCACTAAAGAAAGAAATGACATAATCGAACACTCACTTTTTTCTGTAACACGTTGAAAATAATGTAAAATACATTTGAGTTTTTGAATTTTTTTTGGATGTCCACTTTGAAATAATCTTTAAATTGATAAGATTTACATTCAAAGAAAAGACCAACGATTGAATGACATATAGTTACGCATTAAAATTTGGATTTGGAAAATTACAATATTTATTCTTCTGTTTACAATCAGAACGATTTGGAAATAAACAGAAAAATGCACAAGCTAACAATGAAGCAGCTTGTCGTTGTGACATTGTAACTGAACAATTTGTTCCAGTACGTAATAATGGGGGTGGCTGAAACATAGTATATTTCATGTATGAAAACAAAACAAGACAAAAATCAATACTTGGCTACAAACTGTATCCACATTAAGTGCAAGAGTACAAATATTTGATAGAACAGTCGTCATAAAATGAGCACGTTCATCGTTTGAATAAATCTTGACATTATCATAGACTAATTTGTATTTTTGAAAAAAAAAAAAACTTACTTCATCAATCAACTTTTGAAGAGTGTCCAAATTATAATGACGATGTACGCAATCTCGAATTGTTTTCTATCATAATGATGTTAATTTACGAAAGAAACCATCTGACTGATAATCTCCACTTGAACTCATATTTATGACTCATGGTTTAGATAAAAATTCTAAAAGATATCATCACAACGAGAAATCTCGTTCTAAAATTCTCTTTAACGAGAGTTCTTATAATATCCTGAAAGTTTCAGCGACAACGGAGGATTTCTTTTTTAAGATGTCATATGCCTAAAACCGGGTTATTTTTGGAGCTCTTGTGTGAAAGTAACGTTTTTTGAAAGCATTCTATTTCAGAAGAGAAGCACTCGTTTGATCTGAAATTTTCAGAACGTCAAAAGAATCATGAGAACTATTGTTGAAATGAATTTTAGATCCGAATTTTTCGTTGTCATTTTTCTCCCGACATTCTGCAATAGACTGAAAGTTCAGTAACATGATCATAACCAGAGAAGAAAAGTCTAATGACTTGAATCTCTTCTAGATTTCTATCTACACTATGAGTCTTACCTATGGACTCAAACAGTGATTATCATTCAAATGGATTCTCTTGTTATTCATACGAACAGGTATATTATTATATTTACTTTTAGATCTTTTATAGTAGCCGTATGGTTATCACACATATTCTTAAGATTAATCAATGATTGACGATTAAGTAGCCATATCGATCGTTTACTTTTCTTCAATAGAATACCAATAATAATAAACAAATATGAGAATGATAATTATTTACAGTGACATTGTATGGTGAATTAGGCATAAAAACATGATCTGAATCCGAACGATTGACAGGTCGATTTGGAATACAACTTGTTAATGGTTCACGTTCAGGATTTGATGGATCATATTTGAATGGCTATTAAAACAGATAAAAATTATTCTCATAATATAAAATGTTTACTGAAATCATAAATGTAAAATTTTTATTTTGAATTTTTTCCATATCTTCTACATTTGGCGGTCCGGGATGAATATTCAAGATTGTCTCCAAGGATGTACCCTATAACAGAATATTCCAACATGAAAAATAACCTATTGTAAATCTTACTTGAGTTATTATTTCCACAACTTCTTCATCATTGAAACAAGGATCGACTATTTCTTTATCAGAGTCTGTTAATTAATAAATATGCATTTATTAAATGAGAAAACAACCAAATGCACTCTTGACTTACCTTCTTCCGAGATTGACCCAGCGTCATCGACCTCTTCTACATGTTGTTGTGAGTCTGAATATGACTCAGCCATATTTCAATAGAGTTTATGAAGTTTAATTTTTCTAAAACTAATTTATTTAGACAATACCAGGATGATTCAATTCAGACCACAGAACACAAAAAGAATCACTAAATACTAACAAAAACCTTAAAAAAAAGAAACATACGTTTTTGTAATAAAATGTTACAAGTGAATACGTCTGCGCACGATGTCGATGAGTCGTTTATTTTCTTTCGCTAATAGGAAAAAACACCTATCATGGAACAGAACACAAAAAAAAAACAAGAACAGACACATGAGGTTGTGTTTGCAGAGCTCGGTAACTGTTGAAAGTAAAAACTGTGAGAACCATATTTATTCGAAAAAGGTTCCAGAATTTAATAATAAATAAATTATGTGCAATCAGCAGTAGAACGATTGAAGTATTGTATTATATTTAATGTGCTTTCATAGTTATTATTAATTTTGAAATTTCGTTGTTACTATTTTAAATGTTTATAGAATACTAATCGATGAGATATTTCATGTTTGAAAAGAGATTAGCCATTTTTGCATCATACAACAAATTCTTATGATCATAAAATCATCAATCTTGAGGAAAAATTCAATACCTTTGGTTTGCAAAAGAAATGGAAAAAATATGAAACTCCGTTATACCGTGTTACTGAGTATTAAAGCAATTGCATTTTTTTTTGTTTGAAAGAGCGATGTTCCACTGACAAGTTCCGTACCGGATACGTTTTTTCAGAGCGAATTTTGGAAGGAGGAAAAGCCAAAAAACTAAACATCTCTAAAAGAACTTTTGCAACTTGAAAAAATTAGTGTTTTTCAATTATTTTGGGCTACGTGGACTCTGCTTCATCAGAAAATGCGCAAACATATAGCTAATAAAAAACGTTATCGTGACAGTTTTATTAAAATTTCTTACATTTATTTCAGACTCTTTAATCAAAACGATTTGAAAAATGTATCTTTTTCTCTAAAATAGAGTCTTTATCTAGAACTATGAATTTCCAAGAACATCAGCCACCATCTCTAGAAACCATACATGAACTCAATTCTTTTTTTATTATTTGTTCGAAATATGTTAAATCATAGAAACCTGCCACAAAAAAAGAATTCAAAAAATGTTTTTAATCATTACAAAATGACCAGATAATTTGTGAGCAACGAAATTATTCTGTTTCTTTCACAAAAAGCAATATTTCGGTATAAAAGCAGAACAAATTTAATTTTCTACTAGAGCACGTCACGTTGGAGTTCGAAAATTTCGGACGTGACGGACTCGACTTTCAATATAACATGGGGAAGATCACTCTTTATTCTACAATAGCCATCATTAAACGTATTTTTTCCTATAGACTTTCGATATGAAAAAAAGAAATAATACAAATAAAAGTATTGTTGCTTGATGGTGAAAAAGTACGACATTTTTTCTTAGAAGTATTTGATGATTGCCTTTTCTCGTTTCTAAATTAGTTGTGAAAAAATGTCTGCTACCAAAATTCATAGTCTAGACATTGCTTTTTTTAACAGAAACATATTTGATTAGTTTAGAAGAAGACAGTTCGTCAAGGTTGTATCAGCAGAAAATATATTTCAAAAAAATAAAAGATAATTAATTACAATTAACATCTAAGACTGGAAACAGGTGTCATAAGAATGTATTCAAATAATGGCTGTTGATGCTGTTCATGACAATATCGATGCAGATAATAATATAAATCTCCCACTGTTGCTTGTTGCTGGTTCAAGTAGTCATAAAGTACAGAGAATGATGTGATCAAGTTTTTATCACCATAAGCTGCATATACGAGTGGACGTCTAGCTTCGGAAGCAGCCATTAATTGAATAATTGCTAAAATTTTATGATTGTAGTAATATTTTAATCTTTTACAGAATAATGTGTACCTTTCAATTGTCTATCACCATTGAATGCTCCACAACCCCAATTTCCAGTAGCAATACCAAACTTGTAATCTGATCTATTTTCTATTGGACGAAAACTTGTGTAGGCTTTAAGTAATTCACGTTCGACAAGTTTCATATTGTATTGATCTGACGATTTACGAAAATAGATAGCATCCATAGCTACTACGTGACACCATCTTCGACCCCAATTATCTCTAGAAACGCTCTAACTTGATAGAAAGTGAGAAATAAATAAAAAGGCTTTTGATCGAAATATCGACTTTTCTAGCAACTAATCAGATCAAGTAATTCAAGTTTTACGAAGGAGAAGAATATTCTCGCTTGTCAGCTACTTAACAGCAGATTCAATAGTCCAATATCTTTCGTACAACTATGACTAGTTGTATCTCTGGGTAGAAGAGCAGTCTGGCGCAGAGCTCTTGCGCTCAACTGCTTGAGCTCTTCATACGCACTAACAAACCGTAAGAACACATGTATGTCACAACGTAGTTAGCATGCTATTGCACAGATGATTCAAGACACAAAGTCACTAATGACTTGTCCAGAATCATTCCACGACTTATGGTACGAAGACTTATACACATTATCTTATGGATACGTGTTGAACAACGTAGCCACTCCGTCATGCCGGCTGACAATTCAAGTTTTAGTTGAAACCGAAATTGAAAGAAAAAAAGCGGATTTTGTCATAGTTTTTATTCTTATGAATCAAGAAACATATTAATTTAGATTTATTGAAAACGCCATACCTAGTTGTATTATCTTCAAAATCTCTATCAAATTGAAATGAGTTAGCATAACCTTTGTACGATGAATATCGTTCGCATCCAATAAGAAAGATACATTCATTTGGCTGCATCATTTCACAAACAAGTAAACTAACAAGCATTTCAGGACAAATAGTAAAACGAATTTCTTCTTGTACACAACCGGCACCTAAAACGCCACCTCCCTAGCTTTCGATAAAATGTTCTATTAGTAATAAAATAGCAAGCATCGCTCTTTAAATACTTACAATATATTTATTAGCAAAATCAACCTAACAAAACAGAATCAATGAATATGTGCAGATAATTCTGATATTTACTTGTAATACACCATTGATATCTTCGATCTTTTTACCCGTTGTCAAATGCAAATCACAAAGTCTTGTTTTTAAATCAGGCCACAGTGGAAAATGATTTCTGGTTAATGCAAAACGTTGAATAGTAATGACACCATTCGGCACTTAAGATAAAATGACAAAAATATATTGGGCAAAATTATTATATACAAACTCTTGTCTGTAACACGTTGAAAATAATGCAAAATGCATTTGAGTTTTTCTATTTTGCTTGGAGGCCCCTTTTGATATAAACTTAAAAAATTGATAATACTACATTGAGAAATAAATTATTAAAACACATAATTATTTACGTTTCAAAATTTGGATCTTGGTAATTTTCATATTCTTTCTTTCGGGTCGGATGAGAACGATGTGGAAATAAACAGAAAAATGCACAAGCTAACAATGAAGCAGCTTGTCGTTGTGACATTGTAACTGAACGATTTGTTCCAATACGTAATAATGGTAGTGGCTGAAAAATTATAAATTTATAGTTTCTCATGAAAACACTACATACAAATATACCTGAGAGCAAACAGAATCAAGATTCAATACAAGATCACACATTTTAGATAGAGTAATATACATGATATGATCACGTTCCTTATCAGAATAGATCTTGAAATAAGAATGAATTAAGAAAATGAATACAATAATAATAAAGAACTAACTTTCCTAATCAACATCTCTAAGCATTCCATATCAAAATGACGTCCATTACAAGTTTCTATTGTGGCCTAGTACAATTTTGTGCTTATTCGAATAAAATTTATAGTCCTTACTTTTAAATCTTTAAACTTAACCGTTTGATTATCGCATTTATCTTTGAGACTGAATAGCCACTGATAAATGATAGGCCATATGGGTTTTCGATTACTCTTTATCAATAGAAAATAGTATCAAATAATAAAAGCAATATGTCCTAACTGACAGACATATAGAATCGTGACCATGGCATACGAACGTGATCCTCATCCCATAGATCATTGTCAGCATTTTCATCATTCATATATTTCGGTTCCTTATTCGGTCGAGACGCATCATATCTCCACGGCTAAACAACAATAAACAAATAGTTTCACAATTATAAAATCTACTTTGATCGTAAAAGTAAAGTTTTTATCATTCATCTCTTCCATAGAGTTGACAATCGGTGGTTGTAACCATTTATTGGTAATTGCATCAAAGGGCATGCCCTAGAATATATTATATAGAAGAAGACAAGGAATCGTATATTTCACTTTTTGTATTATTTCATCAAGTCTGTCTCCATTGGTAAAAACATCATACATCTCCACGCCTATATGATTCGATTGAGGATATATATATAAGTTATTTTTTGAATAAAACAGTTTAAAAAGAAAAAAACAGAAAAGAAACTTACTTTCTTCTGCTGTCAATTCGGAACTGCTTCGTCTTCTTCGACGCGAGGGACTTTTACATGTAGCCATAGTTCGATGGTGTATATTAGGTTTGTCTACAACTGCTCCAACTCTAGTAGCAGTTTTACTTGGAACACATCCCATTGAATGATAAAAAATCAATCTACTATTTTAGAGAATTCTACAAGAAGAACAAAAGAAATTTCTGTTTATGAAGAAAAATGGAGTGAAAATGTTTCTTCCGTGCTCTCTGTGTCGACAGCTCCTCCCCTTATTTTTCTTTTTCTTTGTGACATTGACGGTGATTTCATTTCTTTTTCGCTTTCTCGGTTTGTGTAAGCATGTTCTTTTTTTTCTTTTGTGATAAGAAAAAAATAAATATTGATGACATAAGTAAAACAAAGAGAACCTATACACGAAGTTTTGTTTTTACATAATGCGGAAGGTTTTCGGTACTAAAAGGGTTTAGATTTCTAGGAAGTTATTGAAACATATAAACTCAATTTAAAAATTCTTTGATTCAAAAGAAGCATACAGAAAAACTATTAAAATAGTGAATCGTATAGAAAAAGTGAACTTTTTATTAATGAATAAAATCTACACACTATTATCAGTCATGTTTCTATTCAATTGAATAGCAACAAAATTCATCCTGAATCACAACAATTGTGCTTGACAAGATTCTTGACATTCGGAAAGAGATAATGGATTTCAGCGTCAGTCAATATATTCTTTGCATCTCTATGAGTAATATCCAATTGTTCAATACGAGCTAATGCAATTTTGATAAACTTATCTTCATGTTCATATTTCAAAATATCATGCAGAAGTGATAGCTCAATATCGAGTTCGAGACAAATTAAATTTGGAAAAATTTGAATAAAACGACGAAAGACTTTATAATCATTAAATGAAGACCATAGATTTATGCAGAATTTTGTCACGGATGGTATTTGTAAACTAGTATCTAAAAGAAGATCTTCACTCATGACTGTAACATTTCTATCTTGTTCATCTTCACTTTCATCTAATAGGCCAATAATCCAATGGATTAATTTAATTGTTGTAACATTTGGAAAAACTTTTTCAATAAATAAGAATGTTTCTAGATTCAATGGTGTTGTAGGAGTCATTGAGAGCGTATGGACACGTTCGAAACAAATTGAAACTGATTGATTTGATACACAATTTGAAACAAAGTCATTTGAAAAATATTCAAACTAAAAGCAAGAAACAAGAGTAATGTATAGTAATTGTACCAATCAATAAATAGATTAATCTCTTACTAGATTTGATTTGTATGGTAATGTAAAAATCATATGTTGTTCAGCACGAACATCATTCCAATACGCAATTGGATTGAAGTTTTGCCAAGCAAAACTTTGAAATGTTTCAATTTCTATGGGATCCCGGGAAGCTAATGGCGAAAAAATGATGAAATCAAGTGATGATAAACGAGGCATTTTATCAAGTAGTCCATGTTCAAGTCCTTTACCATCAAATAAATAATATCTAGTATCGATATTCATTGAAAGATATTCAATTGTTGATCCAAATGTAGCAAAGAAACTTTTCATATGATCAAAATATTTGATCCAACCTGTAAAAGTAACAGAACGAAGTTTATTACATGGTTTTACACCATTCGTATTGGGTGCTGTTTGAACAATACACTCTTGGCTTTGAATTTTCACCTAGAAATAAAGATTATTCAAAATCAAAATGAGAAGAATATAAATTTAATCTAACCTTCAAATTTTGAAGATTGGGTAAATGTCCGATAAGTATAAATACTGGATTCATTCCTTCTAATTCAATCGAAAGATGTGTTAATCGAGTACAAATCTCAATATCATCATTAAAAACATATAAAACACAATCCTTTATGATAAGTTGTTCCAATTGAGAATCAGATCGAAACAATAGACTAACTAGATCACTAAATTCATTATCATCAGGTTGTACAAATGACAAATTTTTTAAATTTTGACGAAGATGAACCATTATCTGTTTTGGCAAATCAGTTAAAGCATTCCATTTAGTCACTTGCATAGATTGAATATTAGCTGATAATAAATGTTCTGGAATGAAGACCAAACGATTCATTTGTAGACGAAGGGCAATAATTTTATGTTTACTCAATATATTTGGTAAATAATTTTGAATCCATTCATCGGATTCTTGAGAGATATCTAATCGTGAAATAAATGATTGAATGAGAGCTTGAAGTCGAAGTGATTTAAAATCGGAAAATGTTTTTAAGAGATTGATTGCGCTCAAATATTGAAAAATCCATGAAAAAAGTTCATTTGGTAAGTCAAACAATAGTGTTTTCGATGCCATAACAAAAATAAGACTATTTTTATTGCACACAGTAATGAAGTATTGAGGATTTTTTTTTATTTCATTCTGTCACAATACATGTTAAAAAACAATCAGAACATAAAAAACAACATGCAAAATATTACAATACTGCCAAAAAATTCAAGGACAATACAGTTACCATTAGAAATACAACTACAAAAACTAACCAATAAGAATAAAATGGGAACATTTTTAATGTTATATCATTGTCCGACAACCTTCAAGCATAAGGTTGATCTATAATGCTATAATTTACTCATTCTTCTGTTGAGAAAGTTGTTTATTATGCCCCCATATCCAAAAGAGCAATTTTCATCGAAAAAAATAGATTCTAGGATTTTTGTATCGTTGGATAGATCTCGCTGTCTACTTTCGAAGACAGTATGATTTATTGAAATTATCATGATTTCTCACAGGACTTACTCATGATGCTAGAAGAAAGAAACATGTTTCTTGTTTTTGAAAATGTTAGTGTTTGTTGTCTTTTGAACTTTTTTAAGGTTTTCTATAGTGGCGAATCTAGTAAAAATGTGTGAAATAATTAAGAAGTGCTATAAGCCTTCAAACAAGTGGAGTCGCGTCCTTTATTTCTTTTTCCATTAGTCTTCATTTATTATGTTATGATTTTGACAGTGTTATATCTGAAGAGTCACTTTCTAACATAAGTATACATTCTCTTCTCTTTCTTCAGCGTCATTGTTTCACATTTATAATCAGTCCTTTCTACTTCTCATCTTTTGTCTATTTAAACAACTGGTATTGTTGATGTGGGTGTTAATGAGCAGAACTGATTATGAATGAGTTACATTTTCATTTCTGACCAGATTCTTTGATGGACGCTCATAACTAGAATGTGTAATCCAAAAGGATAGTAGTTACTAATTTTATGGCTAACATTTCAATGTATAAACATCGTCATCAAATAAAAATCCTCAAACTGATACATTCGTTAATGATGCATTTCAAAATTCGAAAAAAATTCTGGATAAATTGAAAAAGTTTGATCAATATTTGGAAAATCACGATCATATTTTAGTAGAAAAACAACTATGTAGTTTATCAACAATAGGAACAATCATAACGCAATGTTATACGTATGTTAGACAAAGATTGAATTGAACAGATATATTGAAACCGAGAGTGATTAACGAAAATTTCATGAACCTTATTATACATATTTAGACTTTTTTATTATTTTCATTAGATTGTTCGAGGAGAATTCAAATCATTTATGCTCAACTTTAGAAAAACTGGAGGTTGATTCTCCCTCTAGGAAATTTTTCTGACCATGCCATTACTCTCTCGTTTTCACTCTAGCTGACAATAGATTGTTTCTTCTTCCGCATAAAATATATTTTCATTATACACACATAAGCTATCACTTTCTTCTCTATTGTTTCGTAAGTATTATTTTTCAATAAACACATTTCAGTAATATTTCAACGAAAAGAAAAGTAAAAAAAGGATTTAAACAAATGATTTATCTGTGAAAATATATATGCAAAATATTCAATATTACAATCATTTTGTCTCACCCGATATGTATATATATATTTATTTTAAAATAAAAAAAACAAATGTTAACTATAAACTAACGTCTCAATAATAATTTTTTATTACATTATCACTGATGTACACAAATTTACTAAAGATCATCATAATCAAATAATATTTGAGCATTTGGAAAGAGAGTATGCATTTCTTCATTGCTTAAGACATTTTTGTCATCATAAAAACGAACCATTTGTAAAATTTTAATACGATTTAATGCACTTCGAATAAAATTATCTTCATTTTCATGTATTAATATTTCACGAAATAATGATCGTCCAATAAACATTTTTAAATAAACTAAACTAGGTAAAAGATAAAGAAAACGACGAAAAATTTTATAATCATCATATTGTGATTGTAAGAGAAAACAGAATTTAGTAATCGAAGGTAATTGTAAACTATTATTTAAAAGAAAAACATCACTCATATGAAATGTATTTTTATTTCGTTTATGTTCGTGTTGATATCCTGACAATTTGATTGGATTCGTCAATTCAAGTGTTTTAACATTTGGAAATGCTTTTTCCATGAATTCGAATATTTCTAACGTTAATGGTGTTGTTGAAATAAGTGAAAGTATTCGAACACGTTCAAAACAAAGAGAAACTGCTCGATTTGATATACAAGATGAAATAAAATCATTTGAAAGATGTTTGAACTAAAAAAATAAGACAAAAGAAGCTTGTCAGTGCAGCCCATTTGGGGATAGAGTATGAAACTCACATGTTGTTCTTCAACTTCAGTATATTAATACAAAATACGTCAAGTGAAAAATCTCTAGTCGACTGTAATTATTATCCATTGATAATCAATCACTAAGAAAACGATCTGTTTTATTTATTTCTGCATTTCGAATAAAAGATTTTTCTATTTTTTGCTTGCTTGTTACTATTCGCTTACTTTTTTTTTATTTTTCGTATTCTGTTTTTCTTTATTTAACATTATTATTATTTTAGCCATTGATTTACCTGACAAATAAACCTGTTATACATAATCATTAGATCTACAGCCAATCTAGACGCACTATTGTATTTATATTGATAAGCTCACAAACACTAATATTGATTTTTTCTGAAGTTATACTTTCATCAGTTCACACTTTTTATATTGATTGTACGACGACTGTAGCAAATCAATGGAACACTATCCATCATTCTTAACATCTTCGATATAAATTTTTATCTGCCCAAAAATCAAAAGGTGCAATATTTAGAACATTCGTAAACTTATTCTAGTCATTCAAATTTCGAGAAAAGCTTTGCATTATTTTTTTAAAGCAGTCTAATGAGGGAACTTCTTGAGGTGCCCTCATTCGGTCTCGATAGTTTTTTTTGTCTATAGATACTACATAGTGTTCTAATAAAAGACTTAAAAGAATTTGGATTTCTATTGAGATTTGACCAAGCTATCAAATGTTTAGTATGTCTATTTTCTGGGCGGCAGATTTTCGGAAAACTGGTATTTTCGAATCTTGAACCTAAAACTGAATACATACAGAGAACTCAACTACACTAGATTGGTTTTGGGTGTAGATTCGCTACTAATACACACCCACAGTCAAGGTTCTGATGCGTGTTGCTCTTCATTGCTATAGAAGCGTACCCGATCAATGTTGACCTGTCCTTTCTCCATCTGGTCGCTTTGAGGGGAGCCGCAAAACCTTGATGTGAAAGGTGCACTCATTATATTTTTCTTTGAAAAACATAATGCGACTTTTACAAAAAGGTAATCATCAAATGTTTACTTCGATTAAAATAATCTCTTACTTGACTCGATCGATATGGTAATGTGAAAATTGTATGTTGATGAGCACGAATATCATTCCAATATACAATAGGATTATAATTTTGCCAAGATGAATTTTGAAATGTTTTAATATCTATTGGATCACAATGAGTCATAATTGAATGAATGATTAGATTAAATGATGATAAACATGGCATCTTTTTCAACAGTTCTTGTTCTAATCGTTTACCATCGACTATATAATACATTAAATTGATATTGATTGTGAAACATTTAATTGTTAATCCAAATGTAGCAACAAAGTGTTCGAGATGTTCAAAATATTTTGTACAACCTGTAAAAGTAACACGATGTAATGTTTTACATAATGTGACATTTTCCACATAGGATGTTGGTTGAATCATACGTTCTTCAATTCGAAATTTAACCTATAATCGAAACAAAAATAAAAAATAAATAAATTAGAAAAAAACAGTTCATTTAACCTTTAATTGCCGAAGTTTGGGTAAATGTTTAATAAGTATGAATACTCTATGCATTCCTTCAAGTTCAATTACAAGATGTGTCAATCGAGTACATGCATTGATTTCATTATTATCAAAAAACAAAAAACGACCAGTAATATTAAGATACTCAAGTTGACTATCAAATTGAAACAAATGACTAGCTATATCTCCTTTTCCATGAGGACATGTAAATGTAATAGAAAGTTGTTTTAAATATTGACGAAAATGATTAAGTGCTTCTTTTAATAAATCAGTACTCCAATCTGAACTGAATATATGCATAGATTGAATTTTACTTAATAGTAAATTTTTCATAATAAAGTTAATATGTTTATCTTGTAAACGAACAGCAACAATATTTTGTTGATTGAATAGAACTGGTAAATAAGTTTGAATCCATTGATCAGTTTCTTGAGAGATATCAAGATGTGAAAGAAATGGTTGAATGAGTGTCTGAATTCGAAGAGATTCTACATTGGAAAATGCTTGCATCAAATTTTTAGAGTTTAAATATTGAAAAATAAATGGAAAAAGTTCATTGGGTAAATCAAGTAATTGTGTTTTTGTCATCATCTAAAAAGAATGTTTCATTATGTCGAAACAATAATTGCTTTCAAAAAAGTAAACATTACGTAAAAATCATGATACATTCAATTTGATACTTCATGATTTTCGTTCTTTTCTTTTGCTACAATGCATAAAATAGATTTTTTTTTCCTCTTGACTCTTGTCTATATAAGAAAACTTCTAGAACAATATGCCGGTAGGTATTATATAGAAAAACAAAATTTCTCTTTCATGACTATTAAAATAGAAAAATAATACTGTTTAATAATTTTCGTTAAAAAAAAACTTCATTAGATTAACTAGAGTTTTTTGTTTATCAACTAAAAAGCCAATAATCTATGCCTTCACGTAGATTCATTGAAGAAAGATTTGTTTCAAAATCATTATTTGTTAAACCCTGAAAATAAATAAATCTAACATAAAATATTCTAGCAATCAAACTTACAAGCTTGACACAAATGATAATTGGAGGAATAGCTTGTGTAAAATGAATAACTGGAATGCGACGTTTATTCTATTAAAAAAATGGTTAGATCTTTTCGAAAAGGATAAAACAATAAATATGTTTACTTGAGATAATTCATCTGTATAAAAGCCTTTTGAAATTTTTTTTGGATCCATGTCACAAAAATAAATAACCTAGAAAAATTCGTTTTATCAAAAATAAAAATAATTTGTAATTAACCTTTTGTTTATTTGTATCATTTAATGATCGATAAAATTTTCTTCCCTTGAATACCAATAGTTTTTAAAATTATTATTTAAAGAAAAACAATTTTTACCTGTTTTCCTGCATTCCAAATAGTCAATTTTTCAAGATTATTAATGATATTTAATTGAATTTCTTGAATACGTACTGACCATATAATATCTCTTTAATTGAAAAAGCTGTTAGCAAAATCTATGAGTGATGAAAACTTGAAACACGATGTAACTGCTTTTGTTAATCACCGGAAGATTGCTTTATTCTATCTATTTTGAAATATATTTCTTCACTATCCTTTTACTTAATCTTCCGAAAATGCAACAAAGAAGTACTTCGTATTTTAGACCGAGAAATTATCGATTGTCACAGTCTGCTGGGTAGAACCTACCGGGTTGGTCTCGGGTTCGACCAAGTTCGAAAGTTTTGAATTTGAAGGGTTCAACTTCGAAAGAGGATCCAAATTTTCACTCAAAATACTTCAACACTCATTTTCGATCGTGTTTCACAAAATATCCTTTCAAATCACATATAGAATTTGTTATTTACTCATGCACGGAAAACGTCGTTGCTTCTGGATGGTATCGATAATAAAGAAGAATTTCATTTACTCGACATAATCGACCGCCTATAGAAAAAAACAAAAGGCAATTTTGTGTTTAAGATCAACATTTTTCAATTAAAATATTATACCATTACGAAGATGTTTAAAAAAAAATGTTAAATCTTCACAATGACCCTGAAAAAAAAGAAATATCGAATATCATTGCTTATGATGTGTATATTAAGAAACATACTGACTTTAGCAATTTCATCAAAACCACCTAATCGATCAAACCAAGATCTTGAACAAAACCAAGTTGGCATAATAAGAGTCGGTCCATGTGCCAAATATATCTAATACAAATAATAAATATCTATGACATTTTGAATAAAAAGTCTTATCTAATAACAGAATATCTTTTTTTTTCGATGTTTGTTATCTCAAATACTATCATTAAAAATGTTATGTTTACTTGTGTATAAAATTGTTCTTCCGTCAAATTATTAGCCCATTGTGTATATCGATCAGTTGATCCTTCTGGAATTCGTTCATATTTTGATCCAACTAAGAATAATAATAATAATAGAATAAAATTTCATTAACAATAAATATACTCAATAGTGCATCATCTTTTTCATTGATAGCTAAGTGATATTGTTTATAAATTCGATTTGGACACATAAGATCATCCTAAATAAATATCTGTTCGAAACAAAAAAGAAAAGCAAACGTCTTATTTTTCTATACAGCATCTTGAAAACATAAAAATCGACCCGATGAATATTGAACTGCTCGATTTTTCCCGTAACCCACTAAAATAAAACAAAGTCCCAAACACCACTGTCTAGTATTTCTCACCACCACGAGCTTCGTTATCTTCATGTCCATGAATAATTAATTTATATTTCAATTCTAATTGTTTTCTCCATTGTTCAATTATATTTAAAGTTTCATCCTAACAATAACAAAGACAAAAAAAAACAACCTAAATAATTCTCAATGGAAAAAATAAAACCACTTGCTGAACTGCCATCATTATAAATAGATAATTCAATATTAATATTCTCAATGATTTGTTTCATTAAACTTTCAAATGTTTCATTTAACCATTGAGCAGCATTTCTTACTGGCATTATAATTGACTATCAAGCAAAAATCAAGACAAAAACGAACTTTTCGTTATCTTTTTCTTTTCTTTGTTCTCATCAACATACCACATCAATCGACATGATTATTTCTTCTTTTCTGATATCTGTAACAAGAAGAAATATTTACAAGTACATATTGTTTGTTTTTTTCCTATTCATTTTTTCATTTAATTAGATCCATCGTACATCACAGATAGCATACAAAGGAAAAAAAAATGTCAAAATTATGAATAAAGAGATGATACAGGTGTTTGAAGAATAAAATCGAATAATGGTAATTTTTTATACAAAGTTGAATATTGTTGAAGATAAGTACATAAATCTTTCACTGTTGCTTTTTCATTTGATAGGTGTTCATATACTTTATGGAATGACATGACTAAATTCTGATCACGAAATGTTAAATAAACAAGTGGACGTCCAGCTTGTGAAGCAGCAATTAATTGTATTATTGCTAAAAACAAAGCAATAGAATTGAGTAGTTTATATTTCAAAAGAGAAAATTCATTTATTGGTCTATCCTTCGATTTGGATTTTATTAATCGAATAATGATCTAATATTTACTTTATTGAAAGAAATATGAGCAATAGTACAGAAGAATATAACGTACCTACTGTAATATTGATAGAGTAGATCTACAGAAATTGGTCGATGCGAAAAGTAGTTGAGAAATTTATAATAAAAGAAGAAAAGCTTTCAACTGTATGAACAACAAAAGAATATCACTTCATGGGTTGTCTGTAATCCTTCTAATTTTTGTGGTAGTACTATATAAAAGTAAATTGAACGTAGACCATTTTCTAGGACACTTACTGGTAAGCAGTATAAAAAGTAAGAAAAAGGAATAGGTGTGAGTCTTCTTATACTTCCACATACTTAAACTTGCACAGGCGTATTCATTTTTGGTTTCGGTCAAGAAAAAGTTTTGGTTCTGGTTTCACACTTAGTAATTCCTATACTAGCAAAATATGCGATATTATTTTCTATCAGTATCCATGACCTCCAGACATTTTGCATCACTTCTAATGTCGTTCCTCTTAGAAATTCATTATGTTTTTTAATTCACTAATACTTTGGCCATTCTGTACATTTATGTGTTCGACAACTATGTTGTTTACGAAAACTAAGATTAATTTTACTATCAAAATTGTAACAGCAAATATTGAAGTGATCATTACTCATTAATTTTGGCATAAACTTTTAGAAGATACGAGTCATGAGAATATGGCATGTGGTGCAAGTCTTACATAACCATAAAACATATCGCTCCTGATTGGAAAGTGTTGGTCCTGGTACTGCCAGGACCGTCGCCATCTTCCCCATATCTATCCAAGTTCACACACCCTTCTTTTATTATAAATTTGTCGACTAGTTTTCGCTTTCCACCATAGAACAATGAAGTCAATAATCGAACAATAACTGCAATTAGTTAATGAGAAAAGTAATGAGAATGAATTCGAAACCAATTAGTGTAAAACAACTCTATTATGAATGTCTATGGTCCCATTTAGGGTATTATCCATTTACCTTTCAGTTGTTTATTTCCATTAAATGCACCACAACCCCAATTACCCGTAGCAACACCTGATTTTTGGTCAATTACTGCTGCTGGAACACGAAAACATGTATAAGCTTTAATTAATTCTCTTTTCATATTTTTTATTGTATATTGTATTGATCGATTATGAAAAGCAATAGCATCCATAGCAACAACATGACATAATTTTCGACTCCAAGAATCTCTAAGAAAAACAAGATTATTCAATATTAGTTTTATATTTAAAATCAATTAATTTTTACTTTGGAGTTTGATCAATATAATTTTCTTTAAATTGGAATGTTGTTGAATAACCTTGATATGTTGAAAAACGCTCACAACCAATAAGAAAAACACATTCATTTGGTTGGATTACTTCACATAGTAGTAAACTAATAAGCATTTCAGGACAAATAACAAAGCGTATTTCTTCTTGAACACAACCATCACTCATTACACCTCCACCCTATGGAAAAAAAACTTCGAATTAGTTTATCTAAAGACAATTGTCTCGAGAGTATGAATGCAATAGAAGATTCACATGAATATTCATCTGTATACTACAAATAAGTGTTGATCCATCATCGAAGAACACAAGATTTCATTTGAACTATCTTTTTGGTAAATATAATAGTTATGTATTCATCTTTCAGTAGACTTTACGTTTACTTTGATCTTATTACGTGCTCATTGTTTCTGTTATTTCCTTAAAAGAACTATTGTTATTTATTCTGCTTTCTCATGTATGAATATCTAACGAAAGAACTTCTCCATCTGCTAAATCATTGTCGATTCAGATGATATTTATTTGATAAGTAATGGAAAAGTCTTCTCCAAAATATGACTCGATTCAGTTTATCTTTGAGAGAAAAAAATTCATCTCTTTTAAAAAATCTCAAACAGAACTTTGCTTTTACCTAATCAATCTGTCCCACCAAACTATTAAAGATGTAAGTTATCCACAATAGAAAGTTTCCAGTGACAAATTCAAAACACAAGAAACAAACTTCTTAATTAGATTAGTTCATTGAACAAGTTGTAACTTTTCTATCATCTTCTATCCGATGATATGCAATATTTGAAATTCTCTCATATGTAAAAGCAAATTTTGTTCATCGTTTCACATCTTCTGAAAGGAAATACTAGGTGCACAATCAAGTAATCTCATTATGAATTTTGTTCATGCAAAATTTGAGGTCGAAGGTCGACTGTCCATATGATTAGTTTTTTGTTGAAAACCCAGTAAAATTTTCCATTTCTCAAGAAAAAGGCTCAGAAAACTAAATCATTCATTATAGACTTTTCTATTACTTACGAGTAATAATTAAATGAATATCACTTTGGTCGAAAAGCGATCTGACACGGAAAGAGATTCTCTCGTGAGTTATCTTATTTTGAAATAAAACGCAATTTCTGAATCTTTATTGTTTTTTCACGCATTAACTATTACTTACAATATATTTATTAGCAAAATCAACCTAAAAAATAAAAGATTTAATTAAAATCCAGGAACAAAATCATGATGTTTACTTGTAAAAGACCAACTATATCTTCAATAATTTTATTTTTAGTTATATGAATTTTACATAAAGGTTCTTTAGATTCTGCCCATTTTGGTAAGCAACTATCTGGTAATTGATAACGTCGAAAAGAAATAACACCATTGGGCACTAAAAATAACAAAAAAAAATTGAAATTTTATCAGGAACAATATTGTATTTATTTACTCTTCTCAGTAATACGATTAAAATAATGAAAAATACATTTAAGTTTTTCAAGTTTCCATTTAGATCCACCTGTTCTACCACCTTGAAATAATCTTTAATTAATTAAAACACAAAACTAATATCAAATAAATAAAATTTAAAAAAGGTAAAATTTTCTTACGTGTTAAAATTTGGATTTTGATAATTCTCATATTCACTGCCTACTTTCTGATTAAAACGTCGAGGAAATAAACAGAAAAATGCACAAGCTAATAATGAAGCTGCTTGTTTTTGTGACATTGTTACTGTACGATTTGATCCAATACGTAACAATGGTGGTGGCTAATAAAGAATCAGATTCAATATTTTGATTTAAAAACAAAATAGATTTATACTCGACTACAAATTTTATCAACATTTAATGCTAAACTACAAATGTTTGATAAAACAGTTGACATAAAATGAGCACGTTCATCAGCTGAATAAACCTTAATTATTATTATTATTAATAAAAATTTTGTTTAAATAAACTATTCAACACTTACTTCATTAAGAAGTCGTTCAAGACAATTGAATTCATATTTACGTCCAGCACATTCTTCAATAGTTTCCTAATAGTAATAATTTAAGTTTATACAATGAGACAAAAAAACAGTCATTACTTTAATATCTTCCATTGTTGCCATATGTGTTTCTGATAAATGTTGAAGTTTTGTTAAAGATTCTTGAATTATTGGCCATCGTTGTGTACCATTTTTCTGTAGAACAAAAAAAACGACAATTTACTCTTTTTTCTGAAAAAGAATTTTCTTTTTGAAAATTTACAGTTATATAAAATTGTGAACAAGGTAAACGAACATTATCTTGATCCCATTCATCGACATAAGTGCCATTCTCATATAATGGTTCAGGTTCACAATCAGGATCGTTTGAATCGTATTTAAATGGCTAATTAAGATCATATATTATTAATAATGGATAATGCAAAAAATTTGCATTAATTATATTTTCAGTAAGGCTTGACAACTGCTCTTCAAGGAGACTTGATAGTGCTATCAGTGATATGAAGTGCATTTAATTGATTTGATATATTAGTGTAACTTGTACAGCGCAAAGTTTCTAGTACTATCAAAATATTCTAGTTACAAAACTACAGGTTCAATAGGAAAAAGTTGTTTTATTAAAAAACTTGATGATTTAATCTCAACAAGTTCCGATGAAGTTTTTCTCATAGTCTAATATTTTGTTTTATATAATGTGCTTCTCTAGAAGACTTCCTAAACTTTATTTGGATATAAAATATGGGGTTTCACTAACTTTGATTTTTGGACAAAACTTTATTTTTGGATAGTAAAAATGATTAGAAAAATGTCGACTTTGAACAAGTAATGAGCGGGATGAATCGTTTTTGGTTCCGGTTCTGATAAGGAAAAGTTATTGGTTCTAGTTTCGCGTTCAACTAATACATATACTAGCAAAAATTGTGATCTAATTTTTTAGCAATGTCAATGAGCTCGAGACATCTTGCGTGACTCTCTTGAAGTGTTCATTACTTTTGTTTAAATTCACTAATATATCGTCTCTTATGCACGTTTATGTGTTCGACAACTCTTTTGTTTACGAAAAAAACTAGGATTAGTTTTACTATCAAGACTTTAATAGGAAATATTGAAGCGATCGTTACTCTATAGTTTCATATTAATTTTTAAAAACATATGAGAGCGATAGGAAATGCCGATAAAAGCTGAAAAATAATACGAACTTTCTTAGCGGATGGAAGTTTTCTTCGATGCAGAGAACTTTTCTAGTCAAAAATGTTCCTAAAATTATTTATCTTTCGGTAAATATTTTGAACGAAGTGTTTTTGCATCGCTCTGTAACAGAAACTTTACTCTTGTTAACAAAAAAAGTATCAAGTCTACGCGACAAGTTACCAACATACTATACTGAACATAAAATTAGTGCAGAACTATTGCATCACNATGTTCCTTTTTAGTATTCACATGACAATTATATCATTCAGTTTTGATTGCATTTCTAATGTAAGTGGATGGTTGAATGGTGAAGAAGTTCATCTTATGTAAAGCAAAGTATACTCATGGGAAAATTTTTGACAGTGTAAACTATTTTTAAGCAACTTAGAAAAGCTTACACCTTAATAAGCTGCTGTGAAGCGCTTAAGTTTCCTCGTTGCAATCTGATGAATGCAGCTTCCACTAAATAACTTTTTACTGGTGCTTAGAAAATGGTTTTACAAGTACTGCGAAGCGCTGATTATATATATATCGCTTAAAAGTGCTGTAACTTTTCTTCTATTTAAGCGCTTTGCGGGGCTTACAGTAAAAATCACTGTTCAGTCAGACAAGACTGTTGAAAGAACACGTTAAAATACTCAACATTTTTCTACATTTACGCATTTTTACTCGTTTTCAGCGCAAATATCACGAGTCTTATAGCATTCAGCAGTGAAATGCATATTAATGCGCAAATATCAGTTGAGAAAACATACTTTGTAAGCATATTTTTCTGGACAAGTTTTATTGTGTTCAACAAAAATTCGTTATTTCTCGATTTTCAAGAAATTCAACACGTTTAACTGAATTTGTCTCTTGAGATTACGGTCGAGTGTTTTTAGAACCATTAAAATTCTTGGTTTTTCGTCTTGGCATGAATAAGTGATGAAAGTTATGTGAAACTATATCATCAACAAGTGATAAAGAATAAATCTGAAATATTTTATATTAGCATTTAGTATGTATTAAAGAGAAAAACTATTCTAACAATAATACAACAAAAATGGAACTACTCGTAGATACACTTCGTAGATAAAAAAAAGTCATATTGACCGAATAAGAATGACTGAAACGCAACTACTAGTTTTTTTTCTATTTTGCATCGCTTTTCTATTTATCAAGATATGAATGCACATATTTCACATTTCCATGAAAAAAAACCTGTATGAACTAGCGTTCCAGTGATAATAACTGTCAGGAAAAAAAAGCTATTTTTTGCGTTTAAACACGTATTTTTATTGCAAAACGTTCAAATACATCGGTTTTTATTTTTAACATGTATAATTGCGTCGTTCTTATCTGCATCAAGTCTTTTTTGTTTGAAACGCCACCTAAAAATTCTGTTAAAGCATGTCTGTGAGTGGCATGTCTTTTATCTGCAATTGGTGCCATTTGAATTACCGTTGGCATACGTTTTATTTTATGTCCTTGGACGCATTTATTTTTTATGCATGCAAATTAAAACATTCAGAGTCTTATCATGAGTAAAAATGTCGTTTGACGAGGTGAAATCTGCTACTATTTAAGCAAATATATTTTGAAATGTCAGAGTAAAAGAATAAATCATTTAAATAGATCCATTATAGAGATGAATGTTATGAGTATTATATATTAGAATATATTTTAATATTAAGAAAGAAAGAAATAGTTGCGTAGCAAAAAGAGCAAACCCAGATGAATTCGATCGAATTTATCCTAATTGAAAAAAAAAATGCTTGGCTAAGTTTGAATAGCTATAGACAAATTTATGTTGGGATAACAACTCAGTTAAATATTTCCCTACGATGATTTGACATATGGTATCTTTGTTAGTTTTTTTTATAAAATCTCTAATGACCCATAGTTAGAACGTTATTTTTACAATATATTTAATTTATCCAAATAGGTTGCATTTGAAAAGAATAAAATAGTTCGTGTCTTTTTCTATTTCCTTCACAGAAGGCGATTCAATTTTTTTCAGTTATTGGTTTTTTTGTATAGTTGTTGAGAAAAAATTAGTTTTCTCTGTTCCCTATAACATCTCGCTTATATGTAAAATTCGTTTAAAAACTAATGCAGTTTAAAAAGCGTAGCTTCTTTCATTCTCTTCAAATATATTTTGCAAATAATACAAATAATGGCCATGATCTTTCATTTTTTATTCTCTCTCGTTTATTGCCTGTATATAATTTCCTACCTTGTGCTCCTTCAACAATCAAACTAATGTCTTGTGAAAATCTGTATCTATTTCTTTTTTTCGTGTGCCCCTTATGTATGTAATTGCTGACCTTATAATATCATGATAATGGTGAGTCGAACCTAAACAAAGAATTACAGATCATTTTCGTCAGATAATTTTTTTACAAAAATATTTGTATTTTTTCTGCTTATTAATGAAAAGGTCCTTTTGAATAAATCTTTGCCGTTCTTTTACAATCTTCTAAATCAACAGATAGATAGTGCTCCTACAGATAAATGATACATATACAGATGTTTTGCAGAGATATTGAGTTCCGTCAAAAAAAAAATTAAGATTATTATTAGCAGCAAAAATAACATATAGCAAAATTATCTCATAGAGTATAGATCTGAGAGTAAAGCTATGGCGTCGTTGACGCAAGGATATGAGCATCGAACTATAGATATAAGCTATAAATATAAGAGTGTAGATATATGAGTATAGGGATAAGGATAGACTCAACGTATAGAAGCAGAGTTCTGCAGAAAAAAATACGTTACAGTATTAATAAAGCTTATCGCAAAAAAAAACTCGATCTCGAACAACTTGTTTGCATTTTGAATGAAGAAAAAACGCGTTCAAACGTGGATTTGGCAGATTTTTATGGGTGTGTTCAAAAGAAAAAAATTGCTAATATTAATAAAAGCATTATGACAACAACAGTTTCTATTCTTGTTATTATGACGTTTTCTTTTTTATCGTATTATTTTTTGATTTTGTGGTTTTTGTCTTCTTATAAAGCGCCGAATTTCACTTTTTAACTCTCATCTGATTATCTGACATCCATTCGAACTCCAACAAGCTTGATTTTAATGCTACGGAAAGAGAATATGTTATCAAATCTTGTCTCTTTAGATATGCTCTTCGAATACATTGTAGTATACATTGATACCTCAGTCAATCAAATACAATCATTTTCTTTGCATTTTAATAGCACAACGAATGTACATTTGAACGATTGTTGACTATACTTGGAATGTGCATGAGCGTCAGTAAGATTCATTTGAATGCAATGTATTTAAAGTATTCAATGTAGTGTTTTCGTAACATGAGTCGATGTCATTCAATCATCTTTAATCTGCTCAAGTAATTCAATATATACGCAGATTTTCTACATTTATAATTGAAACATTGTTTGAGCAACTTGTAGTACGGATGTTCTTTTTTTCTTTCTGTTTTAAAAATAGATCATGATATAAGAATGAAAAGTTAAGTCGATAGGCAAAATTCATGTGAAGCTTTCTCCGTTCCTGTCCGTCAAAAATCGCGATTTTTATTCAAAAAAATGAATTTTGAGTTTTTTATGTAATTAAATAACTCTCTTTGTCTGTTCTCAAAAACATTATTATTTATGGAAACTTTGATTCTTTCTCACAGTTTTACACAGAATTTACTAATGATGCTAGAATCAGGAAAAATAAGTTTTTTTTGAAAATGTTAGTGATTGTTGCCTTTTGAACGTTTTCTAAGGTGTATTATAGTAGAGAATACGGTAAAAATGTCTGAAATAGTAAACGCTGCCAGCCTTCAAACAAGCGGAATCGTGTCCTGTATTTTTTACGACTGTTGATTTAATGGTGTACTAATGTTAATAATGTTATGTCACAAGAAACATTTTCTGACATAAGTATGCGTTTTTTTCTCTTGCATCAACTTCATTTTGTCACGTTTATAATCATTCCCTTTCTCTTCTCATGTGCTGCCTATTTAAGAAACTGATATTGTTGGTGCGTGTATGAATGGGTGACATAAATATCCTCACTCACACATCTATACTTCATATGTTTTTTCTCTTCTAGATTTATATTTTTCTAGATGTTCTACAAGTAGGCACAAGTCTTCGTTTGATGTGCCATAATCACTATATTTCCTCTATCGTTTTATTTAATAGAAACATTCATTTGAAGTTGCAAACTGTGTTTTGTATTTTTCTCAAAATGACTTTTCTTCACTAATCATGTGTCCCAGATTTCTAAGCTATTTTATATACTAGGAAGCTTAGAAAGGTTTTAAATTGGAGAGAAAATTGTGCTCCACTAATTAACAGAATGAGAATCTTTTTTGATCTAGTTCTTAAGAAAAAAATGGATTGTTTTCAACACGACTAGTCCTATGTTTTGCAGCTTTTCGAAAGAAACCGACACCAAAAATTAATCAAGAAGAATTTGAAAAATTGTCTTCTGTTAAATTGTAACGGCAAGTGTTGTCTACATTTTGAGGCCGATGTGAGATCTATATCATTAGATTTGGAGAACGATTTAGGATACATAGTAACCCACTTTTTGATCCTTAATATAGGGATAACTCTTGAAGAACTCAATATTTTGGGCTGAAATGTTCAGCTGGATCGATTGTTCTGGAACGAAAATAAAATTTTTAGCAGAGAGAAGGTTTTAATTGGCTTTGTCCTTCGTTGTATTTCTCCTGGGGGACTCCTCTAGAATGATCACAGTTACGTAATAGAACTATCATCGTTGTTTGAAGTTTAATTAAACATCAATTATCGTTTCTATTCGTTCTTTTTTCTTGAAGGTCTTTAAAGAGTGGACATATTTTCAATTTAATATGTGAAGAATATTCTTGAATGATATTACGTTAAATAAGAAATCAATTGGTAGACGATTGAATCAATCAATCGAAAATCTGATCTCTCCATAGCAAATTAAGTAAAATGATTTGGTCGAAGTCTTATAAAACGTAATTAGAAATTTAAGTCGATTTACTAAATAATCTCTACCGTTGCTGCCCATAATTGTTGAAGCTTTCAATCAATGCTATTGAGACATAAACATAGTCAAATGACTTTTAAAAGTTTTCGATAGCTATGATCAGTTTTGGGGAATAGATCTTCGAATAGATTGGACTGTGCTAAAGAAATTTAGCCAATGGATTATCGATCGATGGTGCAGTTCAGTCCATGAATGATTTATCTTATTGAAAATTTCTCTCAAATTTATTTCATATAACCAATGGCACCAAACAATTCTGGATAACAGTGAAAAAAGAGCAGTGATATATTTTTTGTGAACATCATTTATAAAAGGGTTTGGATGTCGATCTGTCTGATTGTTCTTCCTGCACTCACATTTTTATTAGCACTGGTGACGATAATGTGTTTGTTGATGAAAGAGGAAAGCGAGACACTGGTATTTGCTGAAGAAAAACGTTGCAATATGAATCGAGAATTTTATGAATTTTTTCTTTGTTTGCCTTCCCATATTCACTTGCTGTTTATTACAGACATGTAAAACCAATGAAAAATTTAAATACCGTTTTTCGAAAAAAAGTTATTTTTCTCAGAAAACATGCGATTTTTCTTTTGAAAAACTTCTAACCCATAGATAGGGTGGGCTGAACAAGCTAGGCTCAACGCATTCAGAGCTCTGTTCAGTTATGTTTTTAACTAATCTCTTACCAATAAGTTCTCTATCATTATCTTCTGTCTTTTCAATTTCAAAATTGCTCATAGATAAAGTTTTAAAAACTCATCGACAATCTGTTAGTCACCGTCATCGCCAAAGCATGAAACTTTCGTAAGTGTTATAAATGACAGAAGGAAAAAAGTTAAAACAAATATCAGTCATCGCAACTGCCAATCAATGCATCGGCTTGCATCACTACAAGCAGTGCTTCAAACAGGAAAGAAAAAAAAATTGCAAGCATCATTCATTTCTTTTTCAACTTTGTTAGCAACAGTTGTTAAGAAGAAACTAAAGAAAAATATTTCTTTTAAGGGCATACGATTTCTCTCTTCCAGGGACTACTACTCAATCCTTGAAGGAATATATCCAAAAATAAAATGTGAAAGTAGTAAGTTACTATAAATCTATATTTTAAACATATGTTTCTTGTTCAACTCTATGCCAACTTCATCAATGCAATGACTTTCATAGTTTCTATCGACAAAACAATCATACCGAGAAATAGAGAAACAAAAATAATCGTCGAAAATACTGTGAGAGTATAGAAACATGTCATGATAGCTAATTGAATAAGGTTTTAAGAGGATTTGAAATAAATATTTTAGAAATACTAACAGTACAATGCGATAGAACGTATTTTTGTTAGATTTTTTAAAAATATCATTGATCAAGGCTTCATACAAGTTAGTTAGTTAGTATTTTATGCTACGTTGGTCTACAATGATTTCTTAATCAATTGATTATTCACTTAGTAGTGCTCGACAACTAACAAATAAAGGTCTAACTAAAGAAAAACATATTTTGCTACAGATGCTTTAATATTAACGTCGTTTTAAGATTTTTATGATATCAAATTTTCTTTTAAGGCTTTTTTGTCTTTTTTTTTCATTTAGTATTATAGAACTAACATACTTTATCAATTTATCATGCGTTCTTTTTTTTTCGAAACTAAACTATATCTTTTTGTTCCTTCATGCAGCTTGTTATATTGATGTATATCAAGAGGCCTGTAGACAACAGAAAAAATGATTTTATTCACTGTTTGACCATATGTAAAGTATTTGTCAATATTTATCTTTAATATCATGGGTAACTGCATATACTTCAAAGTGAGTTAATATATGAATATTTTTCGATCATGTTTAGCCATTTAACAAAAAAAAATGAAAAGCAATAATTGCGTAGTACAACATAAACGTAATGACAAATTTTTATTTTGCCAACTTAAATCACCCTCTCCCCTCCGTAGAAAAAGCCAATTCTAGTCAAATTTATCGATTTTGTGATATATAGATTGTCAGATAGAGCAAAATGTCTACTCTCGAATGCATTATAATTTATTTATTGTAAGATGAAATTTAAGGATATTAAATAGGTTTTTCGGAACCGTCATACTGAAGAAAATAAGGTTTTTTTTCTAAAAACCTTGATGTTTAAAGGTTTTTAAGCTTCTTTGTTGACTTTTGGCAATGACAAGCATGGCTACCATGCAAAACTTGAAGATGAAAAACTGCAGAATGGAATGAGGGTGTGACTATGAGTGAGTTGAAGACTCACATGCACACTCTTATTTACGTTCATTTGATTCGCTCTAATCGGTGATCTATGACAGGTACATGGCAGATTCTTTTCATAACAGTTGATGGAGAAAAAAAGTCACGAAATACAGTGTTGAAACTAAATTTTGTCTTTTTCTCACATAACTCGAACTTCAAGAACTCAATGTATTGAACTGAAATTTTAACTGGAACCTGCCTAGCTTAAGATACACCTCTTCTAGAAATTTCATCAAGATTTGATAGTCGAAAAAAATAATTCTTAAGGTATTTTCATTAAATCAAAATAGGAATAATATATAATTTTGAAATAGAATTTTTGATATTACAAATCTATTTTACTATTCTTTTTCTGTTTTTTTTTTCTTTTTCAACCGTTATTTTGTTCTGAACTAAGTTGAGTTAATCTCGTTGCATGAGTCATTCATCGTTTCTAATCTTTTGTCGATCGCTTGAAAGCAAACTAAATAGAAAGAAAAAAAAATCTCTGTAACTATATAATATACTACTAGTGTTGTGTGATGAAGATTTTTTTTTCTTTCCACTGACACACTTACGTAGTATCTTAAGAAATTCTACTCCTGTTGCATCTTTTACTTTTGAAGAAAAATATTATGATCCTATACTGACTTTGCATAAAACTACGTTTTGTGCCCATATAGTATGACTTAAAATTGTAGTAAGATTATAATTGACGATAAATTTGGCTAATTATGTTAAACTAAAACGCATTTTTCATAAACATATCAGATTTTTATTTATAAGAAAATAAAAGTAAACGGATATTCAGCATCGTCCATATTTAATTTGATTTCTGTTCCTGGTCAACACGAGTGAATATTCCATTTCTTTACTCTGTTATCCTTATCAACGCATCGAAAGATAATAAGAGGAACGAAGAGTGATTCGTCAACAATGAGATTTCTCTGCATTTGAAAATATCAACGTGTTTTTTTTTCTAGTTTAATTAGTTATATTGTTTATGATATGATTTTGACAAGAAAACTTCTCTAGCTGATACCCTCTATTTGAGTTCATATTTATGGCTTTTATTATAGATGAAAAATTCGAAAGGGTTCTTGTCCTTCGACTTTTCTTCATGAGTTATAACCATTTTATTGAGTTTTCAGCATATTATAGTATAATACGAAAACAAAAACGACACTAAGAAGTTTCCGTCCCATATTTCCTTAATAACAGACCTCATGGTATTGATGACATCTTAAAAGTTTCAGTTTAAATGGATGCTTCTCTTCCGAGATAACACATTTCCAAAAAAAAACACTTCCTTCTCTCAAGAGCTCTCAAAATAGATCATGTTCTAGGTGTTCCATATCTGAAGAAAAACTAGTCAGTTTTATCTGAAATTTTGATAATATATTAAGTACAATAAGATATATTCCTGGAAAAAATTTTGAATGGAAACTTCTCACTGCGATTATTTTCGTAAGACTCTACAATATGCTGACAATATAGTAAGATGATCATAACTTACGAACAAAGGTCTAAGGGCACGAAATGTTTTTGAATTTTAATCTAAAGTACGAGTCGTACTTATGAGTTCAGATTGAGAATGTCAGTTGACAAATTCTCCTCCTTAGTAATAGTCTGGAAAATGAAGCAATTGAAATACGATTGAGACAGATGTTTGTTTCTTTTTATCTTCAATGGAAATTTGAGTTACGCCTATCAAACTGTAATCCTATATTTGAATACAACATGGGGTATTGTTCATCAATATTTGAATAGCTTTCCTTTGTGATACAATTAATAGACATGCTTGTAAAATGATCATTCTCTTCATAAACTTCATTCTTTCTTTCATTTCAGACTGATATATAGACCCACGCTGATTATATCTTAAAGAACAAAATACAATTGAATAAGATTAATTCTCAAATATATAATCAATGAGTATACAACGTTATCTAACATATTATAGTCCACGTATATCTACGAATATTAAAAAATATCGTCTTTTGGCTATAATTATTTTTTCTTTATTCATATTTCTATTCATAATTTATGATTTTCGTACACCACTAATTTTTTCAAATATTCCACCATACAATGATATCATTTCTTATAACAAATCTTTGGACTTATTAAAAAGAGAAAAAGTTCTCATACCTATATCTATTAATCGATTATATGATCATAAAGTAGTATGTACCGGTAATAATGGTATACTTAATCGAACTGATTTAATTAATCGAATATCAACAGTTTGTGATATAAATTTAAATGGAAGTTTAAATATTAATCTTAAGCCACCAGATGATTTTCAAATACGTTCATCATTAACATCAAAATATGTCAAGTTATGGAAAACAGCCAATACATGTTCAATATTCGAAAATGAAACAATTGCAATTATTATGTCGTATCGTGACCGTGAAAAAAATTTAAAAACTTTACTATATAATTTATTGCCTTTTTTACAACGACAAAAAATTTCCAATTATAAAATATTTATTATTGAACAACAAGCATTAGGTGCATTTAATAAAGGTCGATTGTATAATATTGCATTTTATCATCTTATGAAAACTTATAAACCAACATGCGTTATTTTTCATGGTAAATAAGTATGAATTTTTCTACTATTCATTTCAAAATATAATGTGCTTCACTATTTTTTTAAATAATTTTTGATAAGAATAACACCAAGCCCAGCGGTTTTCACCATTCAAGAGAGAAGATCCAAGGTCACCATAGCGTATAGAAATTTGATTCGTCAGTAGTTAACCAATCAGGTGAGTCTCTGGGTAGAGATTTTCGAAAAAAATATCCTAAAACTATTTTTCTTTCGATCTATATACAAGACCGACAATTCTAGCTTGTTCTGTTCAAAAGTTATAAAACTTTTCCTGACACTCCCAATTTTAGCGAATTGTCCTGTAATTACTCGGAAAATCAGCTAGGCAAAGGCAGCTCACCATTACACATCATGCTGAGTCGAATGGTGATATTTGGTTTTAGATTCTATATTCCTGAAATGTCACAATTAGCCTCCATATGTAACGAAGGAGTCGACATTTAGGAAATATTAAGATAACAGTGTCAGATCATTTCGAACTTGAACACAAGTATTACGGTTCGATTCAGCATGGTGAATTACTCCTATCTTGCTGGTTTTCTAGATGATCATAGGATAGTTAGTTGAAAGCGAGAGTCTCAGAAAAATTCTTATAACTCTGGAACGGAACAAGCTGGAAATGTCGATTTTGGGCATAGATCAAAAGAAAAATAGCTTCAGAATATCGTTTTCAAAAATCTCCAGCAAGAACGTAACTGATGATGAATCAAATTGCGATACACTTTGATGACCTCGGGTCTTCTCTCTTGAACGGTGAAAATCGCAGGTCTCTATAATGTTTCTATCAAAAGTTATGCAAAAAAGAACATAGTAGATCACATTATATTTTGAAATAGACAGTAGCCTCAAATTTTGTTTCGTTTCGTTTGATTTTCTTTTTTTTTTGTTTGTTTAGACGTTGATCTTATTCCAGAAAATGATCATAATTTATATTCATGTTTAAAATTAACTGATCATCCTCTTCATATGTCAGCTAATGTACGTTTTCAAATAGATAGTTCATATACAACGATCTATTCTTTTCTTGTTGGTGGTGTATTAACACTTCGACCAGAAACTTTTATTTTACTAAATGGTTATTCGAATCAATATTTTCATTGGGGTGGAGAAGATGATGATATGGGTTTAAGATTTTTATCGAAAGATATTTGTGTTCAACGACCGACAACTGGTTATTATTATGCTGGTTCACATTCAAGTCAAACACGAAATAAAAATCGTTTTAAGCTTTTATTTGATGCTGCTTTAAGACAAGATATTGATGGACTTAATAATATTGCTCAATTAGCTCGTATAACGAATACATATGAATATCCTCTAGTCACTTGGTTAACAGTGGAATGGATTGATAAATATTCGTCTACCTCATAATAGAACTATGAAAGAAAAATATTTAGGCTAAGTCAATAGGAAAGTGATTGCTTGTATATTTCGAAAAAAAATATGTAAATAGATTGTTGATTTGGAAGTCATCTAACATTAAAATAAGCAAAAAAAGCAAAATATACACATATTTATTATTTTATTTGTTATATGTTTGACTTTTGTTTTATTCACAGTTGGTATTTAAGAAACAATTATGAAAAAATCATTTTTCTTTAATCGAATGAATATGTATATCAAGTTGTAATAAAAATAAATAGTCAGATAATATAACAAATTCAGTGTTATTGGTGTTCATGTAAATATAATAAATATTTTCTAATTGATATATCTTCTGTGAAAGCAAAAACAAATAGAACATTCTATTTATGCTAGATATTTCAAATAACATCAAACTGTCTTGTTATTTATCATTCTTCCTCGTGACCTTATACTATCTTTTACGTCTCCATTATTCACTGGCAATATGTTTTGAAAAAGATACAACAAAAAAAAACAATATAAAAATGTAACGATTAAAAAGGGAGTTACTTCTTCTTTTATTCATATTCATTAATGTTTAACAATATATAGGAATAAAGATTTTTCATTCTATGAATGTAGTTCACAACATAAAATGAAAAGAAAAGGAATACATAATCTCTCTGAGTCAAGCTCCAACTATTTTTTAACTTATACAATTCTAATCAGAATGAATTCAATTGAAAATATAATGTATTCAGATTGAACAACTTTTGATGTATCACTATCTATAATAAATCCCATTGCTTGCACGATAATCTTTTGTCGAATAAATAGTAAAGTAGATGACATAAGCCCAGCCTAAGAGGGCGATAAGCGTGCCGATGATATTGGTTACAAGCACCATGATACTATACTTTTTTGCACCAACAAAATCGTGTTTCAGAAGACAATTACGAACATTTATGGACAATAAAAAAGCTATGATACCAACTAGCAACCAACCGAAAAAGAGATTGACAATCGACCATGCTAGGTAATGATGAATCTTTTCACTTGGATTGTGAACAGGTTCGCTCAATGGACGTTGATATTGTTGATCAAGACTGAAATTAATAAAGCTTGCCGCTGATTCTTTGATTGAAGACTCCGAAATCATCACTAGTACTTCTTTTTTCTTGGTTACAGCGAAATCGCTCGAGTGTAAAGCAAATTCAAGTAATCAAAATTTCAACTAAAGATCAGCTTCTTCAAATTTTGATCAATGTCCAGTTGTGTAGATTTAGTTTTCTTTAACGAAATATGTTCTGCTCTGTTATCGGGACCTTCAACGCTGTTAAGTCATAAAATTCAGTCAGGCAGATATTGACTTGAAAAGAGTATTTATTTACGCTAATCGCAAAAAAGGTTTTACAGTGAACAGCTACGAGAAAAGTGTATTTGCGCAGTACTGTTTCTATTTGTCGACACTTTCTTTATTGCTGTTCGTGCTTACCTGACTTCTGTGAAGTGATACAAGTCATGACAAGCCCTATCATATCACGCTCTCGTACAAGAGAGTCTGCAGAATGCCTGCCAAGCAGAATTAAAAATTTCGTAGACTTGTTCATATTAGTCAGATGATCAAACATTACGAAGGCTACAACATCATTTTTTTTTTCATTCATACCCATTGCTATACAAAAACGATCCTGTTGAAATATAAATCTATCAAGAACTTAAAAAAATGAAGCAGAATTTAGTCAAAATTCATATATCAGCATCAAGAGATAAGCTTTATCACATGTAACGCTCTTTGAGGAACAAAACTCTGCTGGGAAATTATAAAAGTCACCAGAAATTAAATAGAATTGTTCAACTATAAGAGAAAGACAAAGTTTTCCAAAACTCTTTCCTGAGAAAAAAAATATTAGTGAAGATTTCAAACAATCAACAAATTTGTAACAAGATTCTGTAGCGAGTAACAGAAGACAATTTGGTAAAACGGAATTCTATTCAGAATTTTAAAAAATAACAACAACAACAACAAAAATTGTAATGTCCAAGATTCATCATTCATATACTTTGTCATAAATAGTATTCTCTAAAAATTCTACTAATACTTTAAATTTCGAAACAAATTTTAGAACAACTACAAGAATAAGATCTTATCCCTTGTTTCTGAACGAACCATCAATACTTGTGCCGTTGAACAATTAAATAGAATTCTATACAAACCCTTCTTTATTTATTTCACTGACAATGAAAAAAATACATAAGTGATCCAAATTCAGAATTCTGCTTGGTAGACTTCTGGAACTGTTGAACTGCGTCATTATTTGAATTGTCCGATAAATAAGACTTATAAATAGAGTTTGAAGATACAACAAAAATGAGATCGAGAACCAAACTGAAATTGACTATTTACAATTTCTTGGAGTTGCAGCCATTAAATCATCAGATGCATACAAAAATTTCTAAATCTACGTCGAGAAATCTTCTTTTTTTCATTCTAGAAGTTAAAGATTTCAGTATATATTTATAATATTGCTTTGTTTAAGTACTGAAATATGTCGCATCTTTAATCTCAACGATTCCGTGGTAAAAATTTCTTAAAGAGGTCTATAATTTTCGTATCTATCTTACGATTTAACGATTTCGAGTTCACGTGATATTTTGAAAACTGAATCGGCATCGATTTTTTCTCATCTTTAGTAACTGAGACAACCGAACTCCACAAATGAGAAAGTGAATCCGATGCTAACTTTACCAAACAGTGAAAAAACTTAAACGTCAAGATGTAAAAAATTTGGGCAGAAGAAAGATGTTTAATCGAGTGGTGAAGTACCCAGTTAACTGTAGTCAACCAACAGTTTTTGACCGGCTATTGTAAGACGGATTGATAGTAAAGAACAACTGATGATATTAATTTCCCAGCTCATTGTTTGTTAAGAGACAATTCAAACTCATAATTTCACATAATTCAAATCAAGAATATTTCATGGGTTATAAGATTAAAGAAAAGCTTTCGATAAAAATTTATCACATAATAGACTTGTTATTGATCTTGTAGTTGATTAATATATTTCGAAATTGATATAAAAGAATTTCATGATAATCATTGAATACTTTATAAATATATTATCAAATGTGTATTTATATAGTAGAATAAAAGATATATGTGGAAGTATAAAAACAATAAAAGCAAAAACAAACGAACAATTTTACATATCAATTACTCTCTTATCAGTAATATAGTTTATCTATCTAAATTCATCAGTAATGCAGTGCCACGTTTTACCCAATGGCTATTTGGAAAATGTGGTGTTTTAAGATTAACTTCAACAACAAATGATGGATGACCAAAACCACCAGCACGATTTGGAAAGTAATAAACTGGACATGAATAAACATCTAAAAATGAATCATTATAAATAAAATCATTGTTCTCAAAATTCATAAATCTTCATACCTGTTTTTCTTTCTCGATCTTCTTCAGTTGCTAAAGTTTTTTTCTTATTTTCTGCAGGTCGAAATAAGATAGTTGGCATCGATACTTCTAATTGCATAGGTTCAGCTTCAATTAAACATGCATTTTTCTTATCCCATCCAGCACCTTCTAAGAATAATCCTTTGACATAGACACCATCTTTAGGTGTTTGTAAGTAATTATCTTCAACTCTCATCACTTCAAAATCCCATATTAAACGATCAATACTAATTTTTGTTGTTCGTGCTGTTGTTTGCATAACAGCTGTTAGAAAACCAGTTGGAAAACTAAATCCAGACATCCAAAATACTGATGGTGCATGAGCACTTTGAGCCCATTTAGCTAATTGATCAACACGTTGAACAAGATCACGTGTCCATGCTGCTAATGGTTTTAATGATGGATACATTTTTTGCCATTGTGTTGGTACACGTGCATCAAGAATACATCGGAAAATTTCTTCTAAATCTGATGACATAACAACAAGACCTTTAATACCTTTTTGTAATGATATTAATGATTGTTTTATAATATCTAATAATAAATTATAACGTTCAATTTCTTGTAATAAAACAATTTTTAATGGTGAATGATCTTCAGATAAAATTTTAACTGTTGATTGATAATCAATTTTTTCAGGTAATTGTTCTAGTACACGTGTTGACATTTCCATAACTTCTTCTTCAGTTGTTTTTTTACCTTGTACAGCAACAACTTGTGGTTGTAAAGATAATAATGTTTCAAATAACATTCTTGCTTCACGAATTTGTGATGCAACTTCAGCATTTGTATGTTGACCAAACGCTTCTGGATGATCTGAATTTGGTAATACAGTTGCAACAACATTTTTATATTCATTTAATGTTCCATCACGTGGTACATAATAATTAGGTAATTTTGTTAATTTATAATATTGTACTTGAGGATCAATAACTTCTTCTTTAAATAAATCTTCAATATATGTATTTAATACACGCATATCACGTGTATCTGTAACATGACCACCATAATTTATTTTTGATATAATAAATTTCATTGCTTTCCATGGTGTCATATCTTGATCACGTAATAGATTACCCATAATTAAATTTGATGTTTCAAAATCTGAATCATTAAATGAATAATTGACATTAAAACCAAGTTGAAGAAATTTTTTACGTTCTAATAATAATGAATGAAAAAAACAAAGACAAAATAATAAACGTTTATATTTTTCTGGACGAGCTTGACGATTTTTTTCAGCAAAATCTTGTTCATCAATTATTGCATATAAACGTTTCATATTTGCTTTAATACCTTTCGGTGGTTCTGTAGTTATTTTAATACCAGATTGAAGTATTGAAATAGGAAATTGTGGTGATGGAGATGATGATAACCATAAACGAAATTGTGGATGAACTTTTTCAATTGAAAAATTTTCAACAATTTTTTCTAAATCAGGCATCCATGATAATGATAAATGACAATTTGCAAGAAATATCCATCGACCCTGAAAAAATAAAATTCATTTAAATAAATTTTGTGTATTTTTATTTTAAAAAAACATATTCGGACGTTC